GAATGGCTCCGGCCCAGACACGGCAACGTCACGGTGGCGGGTCGCTGTTCAGCAGGCCCGACTTCCGGTCAGGATGGGCGGTATGGGCCTGACCAGTGCCATGGACATCCGTGAGGCGGCGTGGGTCGGCACGTGGGCCCTCGTCACGCGGCCGATACGTGAGCTGCACGAGCCATTCCGCGACCTCGACGTGGCCCTCGCGCCGGGAGAGCGCTTCGACGAGCTTCGGGAGGCTCACAAACGCCTCCGCGCCCTTCGCGACGAGGTCGGCAAGACGTGGCGCGAGTGGGACGGGCGCACGCTATACCAAGACGTCGTCGGGCCCTTCAAGGAGACCAAGGCGGTGGGACGGCGCCGCTACCACCCGCCCAAGCTTACGCCGGCGGCGGAGCTGCTGCCTCTTCCGGAGTTCTCGTCTACCAGCGAGTTCTTACAGCAGGCGCAGCGGCGGTACACCGTCGGCGTACACCATCGCAACTGGCTCGCCCTCGCCGAAGCCTTCGTCAGCGAGGCATCCCGGCGGGGCGGCCGCTACAAGACTGGCAGGTGCAAGAACCACAAGTGCTGGCGCGAGGCGATTCGGTTCGTCGCAGTCAGCCAGGAGGGGGCTGGCGCCTTCCTGAATGCGATCCCCATGCGGGATGATATGAAGATGGAGACGTGGGCGATGCGCATTACAGTTCAGCGCCGCCTCGGCCTCCCGCTCGATGTTGCCTGCCAGGCGGTGGAGGCGGGCAAGAAGGCGCCAAACGGCAAGCCGCACGAAGAACTCGGCGATGCCGCAATGGTCAACCCGCGTGCGAAGCACGCGACACGACACAAATACCTGCTCAAACGACTCGTCAAGACCCTTCGCTCGGCGTGGGGCATGCTCATCGAGATGGAGCCGACTGCACACCTCAGTTACAGTAACCCAAAACAACCTGACGTGGCGGCGGCGAACATCGGCAAAGGGCATGTGCGCCTCGTTGGCGACTTGAAACTCACGAGCTCGCTTACGTGCAAGGGTGGCGATCGGCTCGGCTGGAAGGGGGCTTTTGTCGCCTTCGGCAACACCGAGCGGGCGCTGCTCGACTTAGTGTTCGGGCATGCTGCATGGCCGCGGCCGGAGGGGGGGGGGGAGGGGGGGAGGGAGGCGGAGGATGCAGAGGCGGAGGCGGCGGCGGCGGAAGAGGAGGAGGGGGAGAGGGAGGGGGAGGCGGAGGCGGAGGCAGGGGCACCTGTGACGGCCCCCTACAAGAAGGGCGACTACCGGTTCGCGCGGGAGAAGAATTGCGACCTGCGTTTGCTCGACTTCGAGACGTTCGGCGGCTTCGGGGACGGCGTCCGCAGAATTCTTCGGCAGGCGGCGGACCAGCTGAGTAACAAACTTTCGCACGCTCAGCACCTCGATGAGGTCACATGGACCACCAAGAACTGGCACGGGCTGCAGATGCAGCGCTTGTCTGTCGTTCTCCACACCGCCGTGGCGTGGCAGACGGTGAACGAGCTAGCGTGCGGGGACAGCGGCATTGTGCACGGAGCTAAGTGCATTGCCGTTCTTAACGGAGTCGCTTAGGCGGCTCCGGTGGTGTGCCGGTGATAGTACTAGCACGCGCCAGTTCGCACCTGTGTCGAGCCTGTGTGCTGTGAGAGAGAGTTGTCTTGTTTAAATTCTTCATTACGTGGCTGGGTTCACAGCAATTGTAGGGAAACGAAGGGACCAAATCACGGTCGCGGCCTTCCGACTCGCGCCTCCGCCTCACTGGCACTATTGTAGCCCTGGCCGGTGCGCGTGCGGAGTTGAAGTTCCGGAGTGAAAATTCGAACGCGTTCTCTCACGGTGACCAAAAAATGTCCACCTCAGAGGCACCTCCGGAGGCAGGCCGCCGCACGCCGGCGACACAGCTCCAGCTGTCGAGCTGACCCGCAGCTCCTCTCAGAGCGGGAACTGTGACGAAAGTTGACTGAGGCGGTTGTCAGGAATCATCATACGGATCACATGGTGGCTCTCTCATGACGGGAGACCGCCCGACCACTCCTGGGTGGCACTGTCACCGGTGTCGCTCGACGTCCTGTCGACAGCGTGCCGACAGCGACACAGATCATGTGGGACGCGTCGAGTATCGACCTCTACTGCTTACCCAGCCTTCGAGTGTATCCTGGCTGTGGTCCCACACCCACTGGTGTCCATCTCAGAGACCGCAGGAGGTCATGAGGGTCGATGGGAGTGCCAACCCCACAATGCCTAAAAACCCAGCCCAGTAAAGTAACTTTGATGCGCTCGCCATCACACCTGTCCGTGGCCTGCAGGATGGGCATCACACGGTGTACCGGCTACCGCTGCTCCGCAGGTGAGCAGGGCGGAGCGCGGAGGCCCTGAGCCTCACCACTCACCAGGCCCTCAGAGCTCAGTCTCGACGGACGCGGCTCGCGGGGGACGCCTCCGGGCCTGGGGCTAGTGGGTGAAATGGAGGTAAATTTTGAAAGTCGCACACTACAAGGCCGGCAAGCTCAGCGCTGACTGTGCACACTGTGGGGAGTCTCCCCCTTGCATCCAGGGACCGACCACACAAGGACGCACACCACCCATCTCAAGACACAGCCA